CTGCCATTCTCCGAACCAAGCTACGAACTCGTCAAAGAGACAAGTGAAGTCAATCCCTCGACAAACGTTCAGTCGAAAACGGTTACACTATCAACCCTCTTTCTGCTCCGGTCTATCTATCTACTCTTTACCCTCTAATCCCATTGCCGCGCTATCACATCTTCTCACTTTTTACATTCCACTCGTCAAAATGTGTGGCAAATCTTGTGTGGCCCCATCACACTCGCTATTTACCCCGACCCCTCTATTTCTACCGGCTTATCCGACTCGGCATCGTAGTCGGCATCATCAGTAACTTGGTGCGGCAAATGGCAAAACTGACTGATGATACCGACTATGATGCCGGCGAAACGTTTGAGAATGCACCAAGTCCACTGTCTTATGTTGTGAATCAAGACAACTACTATGGCAGACGACTTCGGACTAGGTGTGTTCTACATGGTCGCCCTGACAACAAAACCAAGTTGCGACAACGAGGTCACCCCACTTCTAGAGGAATAATTAATTTCGTGTTTTGTCTCAAATGAAGATGTACTCAAAAGCCGGTGAGTCCTGTTTGCAGTTTAGTAGGCGAAGTGGCCGACATGTTCGTAGGTGACAAGAGGTTGGTGGCCATTGTTACGCGATGCCATGCTCATTTTCAGAATGGCACGGCGAGGCTGCAACTTTCGTCATTTCTGGAGACTGTGAAGGTTCTCATAATTCCAACAGAGCCGGGTTTCGAAGAATCCATCAGTGATTTATTGAGACACAACCTTTCACCTCCAAAGCAAATTTGGTTGCCGCCCATTTGTCAATTGGTCTTACTGGAAGCCGAAGAGGGATTGGCTGCTGTGGAGTGGTTGCCTCGGCTCACTATTCTTCTATCCCGAGGAATTCACGATCGGATTCAGTCTGTACCGCTTCACAGTGAGAAACAGTCTTTTTGGAAAAAGCGCAACTTGGCCACGTTGTCAAGGGGGCTCTCGACAAAAGTGTCATCAACTGCCCCCTCTGTCACAGAAGTCATGATAATCTCCATTATGGGACGGCTGATCAGGAAGATTACCAGACATTTCACAGACAATGTGTATGACTTTCGCCATGCTTCATCAGCAAAAGTCGAGTAAAGTCCATCTTTTGGCAAACTTTCTGATCGTTGAGCTTACTTCCATTTCGAGTGGAAGTGTTGGGTGAAGAGATTCAAAGGTCAGTCCCACCAGAAGACGACGCCAGTTCCATTTCGAGTGGAAGTGTTGGGTGAAGAGATTCGAAGGTCGGTTCCACCAGAAGACGACCAGCGACGGAGCTCTTGACCAGCTGTCGATTGGCTTTACTGCAAGATTCATGCTGACGCTGTTTCCGAGGCAATCTCCTTCCATTCCGATGAAACGTTGGTAAGCTTTCGTGCGTCATATGACGTACATCATCAGAGCAAGGTATCATCGTCACAACCAGATTCAAGCTAACGAGTCAAGAAAACTCACCGTCAAATTCCAAAAAGTGGTATATGCACTCTACATCTGACCTCTTTGATCAAGTATAAAGTGATTTAGTTAGTTAACGTCAACTTCGATGCATGTGAGTGTGTCTATCTCTGTATGTGTATGTGCATGTTTGTGTTCGCTTGTGCACGAAACCCGCAGTGATGGCTCATAGCAATTAGGTTAGCTTCGAATATCTTCACCCAACTTTCTGATCAACAGATGCGGTTTATTCTTCTACTTCGGTTGTAGTACCTTTACCCGACCGAGCTCGTTTTCTTTGCAAATGCTTGTTCCTTAATCGGGCAGACCATGACGACGAGGCAACGTCTGCAAATGTACCAATGTACCTAATCCGTCTTTCATGAGGATGCAAAGAGAGTGCAATTGCAGTGGGTCACTTTTATTTTTTCGGACGTTAGTAGAGTTTCGAGACTACCAGTAAAGCAGTTATATGAGATGTATTCACCCTATTTCGTTAAAGGTTATAACTGGACTGGTAATTGAATTTTCCCACAATCATTAGCGAAGACCTTACGCTTCCAAAGGGTTTCGTATTGACCTGCTCTCCCAAAAGGTATACCCATCCCGGCTTGAGTGGACTAGAGTTTTGAGCTCGCCCGAGCTAGTCTCATCGGCGCTCCCAGCGGGACTCGAACTATGACAGTAGTGCGCACAATTTCGACGCGTTAACCACTACACCAGACTTCTACGAGTGCCCTTGGCTCACAGGGAAGATGTGATTTTCAAGGAAGACTAGGCATTTTCTCATATCATATTCTGCGTTGGGATTGTCGTTTAAGCAACGTTGTATTTACTCTAGCAATCGA